GTCCCGAATGCCCGTCTATCTTTCTTTCTCTCTTACTGCCTCTGGCGACTATCTACCCCTCTGTTATAGTGCCTATGTCTGTGACCCCTCAGGCGATTCTCTTGTGCCCTGTCCAGAAACATCCAATAGGCACTTCATGAAAATTATAGATGGATAATATTAGGGATTAGGGGATAGGCCTGGGGGATGTTTCTGGATGGGGTCTCTGACTCCTGTATGAGGTCTCTGTTGCGTCTCTGACCACTGTCTGGTGTGTGTCTGTCCCCCTGCAGGCGGTGGAGGAACTGTTCAACCTGATGCAGCTGTTTGTGGCCCAGAGGTCGGACATGAGGGAGGAGGAGCTGGAGGACGTCAAGCAGTTTAAGAAGACCACCATCAGCTGCTACCTTCGCTGCTTGGACGGACGCTCCTGCTGGACCACACTCATCAGGTAACACAGAGGGTAACAGGCGCGCACAGAGGGGAACAGGCGCACACTCACACCTGCTACCAGGGTCATGTTCATAAGGCACCAAATGGAAGAAAACGGACTGAAACAGGGACTACCTGGAATTGTCCAATAGAACACAATCAATTCTGTTTCGAAACGTTTTAAAACATTTTCCGTTGCATGCCCTAATGAACACGGCCCAGATACAAAGCATCTGCATAGTTTGAAAATATGAACACACGGCAACCTAACCAGGGAAATGTCTGATGCCTTTTAGAGAATCATATGGGCAATGTCTTACTTTTGAAATGAATGATATGTGAAATATAGTAATGTCTATTATATAATATAACTGTGGTTTGTGTCCTCCTTCCCAGTGCCTTCCGTGTGTTATTGGAGAACGATGAGGACAGACTACTGGTGGTCTTCAACAGAGGACTCATCCTCATGACAGAGGTATGACAAGACATGCTACTCACATTTACTAATTATGTTTATTAGGCTTATATTGAACCATTTATACATTGCATTGTTTCACTGGCTCGTATGTGAATATCATTTTGAGTTTGTTTTAGGAAAGTGGGGTTGGGGGTAGACTCGTGTTGCCACATTTCCAAGTCTCGTTCATCACTCTGCGTTTTAATGTAGTTTATTCTGTATCCAATATAAGAAATGTTATATATTTTTTAAAAGTTTGACAATCTAAAGGGTGTCCATAGAGGTTTATCATGACATAGCTGTTACATAAATCATTACCTGTCATTTGACATGCCACTCCCTCTCTCTCCATCCTGCAGTCATTCTACACCCTGCACATGATATTGGTAGTTTGTGATGAAGTTTATTCATTGTGAACTGTATCCAGTAAAATAATATTTTACTGTAAATTGTAGGGAAGTTAAGTGTCAATGTAGGTTTAATTTCTTAGGCCAAGGGTTCTAGCATAAACCATTGCCTGTCATTTGACGTGCCCCTCTCTCGCTCTCTCTCTCTCTCTGCTTCCTGCAGTCGTTCAACACCCTGCACATGATGTACCACGAGGCCACGGCGTGTCATGTGACGGGGGACCTGGTGGAGCTGCTGTCCATCTTCCTGTCGGTGCTCAAGGCCACGCGGCCCTATCTGCAGCGCAAAGGTCAGCAAAAATACCCTCACTCTCCTTCCTCTCTGACCTCCTACCTTGTAGCGAAACCTAATCTCCAAGTCAAATGTTTTGTCTCCCATTGACATCAATGCATTACTAAGTGAACGAGTTAGGATTCGCCCCCTTGTGAATAAGCCCAGCGTTCTTTTGACACAGCCTTACCTTTGTTAACCAGAGCTCAGTTACTTGCCTTTATTAAGGGACCCTGATGTAAAGACTCTGTATATCCTGTGTTCTTCTCCTATAGATGTGAAGCAGGCTCTTATCCAGTGGCAGGAAAGGATCGACTTTGCCCACAAGCTGCTCACCCTCCTCAACTCCTACAGCCCTCCGGAGCTCCGCAACGCCTGCCTGGGTAACAGCACACACACACACACACACACACACACACACACACACACACACACACACACAGAGTTTGGATAATATTTTACCACATTTCCCCTCTAAACTATTCCACATAGTATATGCAATAGACCTTTGGAACAATTCCATTCACTCTAGGGAATAAAACCAATTCTTGTTGTTGTATGGTAATATGAGATGTCATTTCACTAATAGTTCCTGTGTATTTCTGTTCCCCCTCCAGATGTTCTGAAGGAGCTGGTCCTGTTGAGTCCCCATGACTTCCTGCATACGCTGGTGCCCTTCCTGCAGCACAACCACTGCACCTACCACCACAGCAACATCCCCAGTGAGTCTCCCTCAACTGCAGCGCTGTACCTCTGTACACTGCACTGGGTTTATTACTGCAACTAAGAAAGTCGTATGTACTGACGAAAGTGAATGACGACAAACACAAGCAATCATGAAAATATATAATGATGAATAATACTACACAGTTCACGTATTATATGTAACAGCATGCTATCCTAAGGACCCTGGCTCTGTCTGTAGACTCTGGTTCTCCAAGTGCATGCCAGAGTAACGGGGAGTCTTTGACTGTCCTGGCCTCTCCGTGCCTGAGGCACTCACTCTACTGTCCTACAGAAATCTAGAAAGAAAGAAAAAAAAAAACATGGAATCACTGTAGGCGGAGTCATTTTGTCCAAATCTCCTGTTGACATAAATGTTGCTGTAGATTTGCGTAAGACCAGGTAGGATTTGTCCCTCTGTGATTTGTCTGAATCTGACTGTATCTTTGTACACAGTGTCCTTTGGGCCTTACCTGCCCTGCAGAGAGAACATCAAGCTGATGGGAGGCAAGAACAATATCAGACCCCCCAGACCTGAACTCAACATGTGTCTCCTGCCTTCCATGGTGGAGACCAGCAAGGTGTGTGTCTCTCTATAATACTGGGTCTAATTTCTCTTGGCCAGTTTGTCATTTCCTTAAATACATAAAGACTATCTTTGGCACAAAGATCATCTTAAGTTTGATGGTAGATAATAGATAGAACAGTGGTCTTAATGCTAAAGATGATCTTTATGTTTTTAGGGAATCTCACCCCAGGTTATTATTGTAAGAGAGATTGTTCTCGATAGCTTACCTGGCTAAGTAAAGGTTAATGTAAGATAAAGACAATCTGTCCTACCTGGTTAAAATAATGGAAGTGGAAATGGTGCCCATTAGAGCCACAACTGAAGTTCCCTCTTGGGAAAATAAAGTTACTCTATTTATGTTTCTTCACAATTCAAGGTCTGTTCATTCCATGTGTATATTTGCACTAGGGTGGTCTTCTTCCTATCATTGAGAAGGATCATAAACGTCCATGTCTCTCTCTCTCTCTCTCAGGGTAAAGATGAGGTGTATGACCGGATGCTCCTAGACTACTTCCTCTCCTACCACCAGTTCATCCACCTGCTGTGTCGAGTCGCCATCAACTGCGAGAAGTTCACCGAGACCCTTGTCAAACTAAGTAAGTGGGGGTTTATATGTGTGTTTGTATTGATGTAGTTCTAATGCTCCTATATCTAATGACTAAAGAGGGCTGTGTTGTATCTGTATCTGGTGGGTCTCCAATGTGACCATATCTGTCTGACTCCAGGTGTCCTGATAGCGTACGAGGGCTTGCCTCTGCACTTGGCCCTCTTCCCCAAGCTGTGGACGGAGCTTTGCCAGTCTCAGGTAAATAACACACACTTACACACACACCTAAACACACACTTAAACACTCAGTCACGCACACTCACACAAAGTACTCCAGACACATATGCATTATATTTCTCTCACTTACAAACACACTTAACACACATCACAATATACAAACACACTTTTACCGTACATTGTCACTGACATCTGCTATGCTGTTTTGTAGTCGGCCCTGGCTAAGACGTGTGTGAAGCTTCTGTGCGAGGACCCGGCATTCGGCGAGTACATCAAGTGCATCCTGATGGACGAGAGGACCTTTCTCAACAACAACATGGCCTACTCCTTCCTCACCTGCTTCCTGCACAAGGTAGCCATCTCTAACATCCGTTTATTTCAACGTTGACCGCCTCTGCTTTAGCCTGTTTATAGCCTGTAATGTCATTTATGCATCCAATGACGACATGCAACCCTTTTACCAAGGTTGGTTTTGCTAAGTCCATGCTAGCCTGAGTCCCAGATCTGTTTTGCCGTCTTGTGACCGCAATGATGTTGGCAAGACTGCATAATCCGATCTGGCACTCAGGCTAACCGCTTGCTACTTTAAATACCAAGTTGATGGGCCTTGCGAGTGCATGACTGTGTGTGTGTGTGTGTGTGTGTGTGTGTGTCATCTCTCAGGTCCAGAGCCAGGTGCTGTCGGGCCCCAGCTGCGCCAACCTGATCAGTCTGCTGGTGACCAACCTGCTGAACGAGTACCACAGCCTACAGCCCGAGCTGGCCTCGCACCGCCTGGAGCTGAGCAAGACCAGCGGCCTCCTCAACGCTGTCAGTACCCCTTATTCACATTCTGTTAATACACTACTCATGCCTTATTCACATTCTGTTAATACACTATGCATGCCTTATTCACATTCTGTTAATACACTATTCATGCCTTATTCACATTCTGTTAATACACTATGCATGCCTTATTCACCTTCTGTTAATACACTATTCATGTCTTATTCACATTCTGTTAATACACTATTCATGCCTTATTCACATGCTATTCATCCCTTTTTTCATATTCTGTTTCATGCTCTACTCAGGCCTTATTCATGCGTACTTCATGCTTTACTCGTTAATTCCAATGTCATGCCTTACTAGATTGTAATTCCCTGTTCAAATCCTATTCTCTAGTAGATAATCACTCATCTTCTGTCCCTCTCCCTCCCTCTCTTTAGGACCTGCGAGCGTTGGCGTTGATGTTGTCCATACACACCCCCCAGGCGTTGGACCCGGCTCTGGGCCCGGCCCTGCAGGAGTTGCTGTCCAAGTGTAGCGCATGTGTGCAGCAACGCAGCACGCTCCAACAGGAGGCCAAGGACCGCAAGGCCAAAGGTACTATACACGCATGCATACAGTATCCTGTCACAAACATTGATGAAAGAATTGAAATGCATTGGTGGTAGTCAAGTATCCCTTTCAGCCTATTGTCACATAATAGTTTAAGCAGAGAACAGGGTTGGACTCTGTATCATTTAAACTCGTTGGGAAATTAATATGAATTGAAGTCGAAAAAGCTAATGATAGTAGTACCTGTACACTGATGTGAAGGTTAATCACCTGAGTTTCTTCTGTCTCTCAGCGGAGGAGGAGGGCGCCACCCCAGTGAAGCGCCGGCGGATGAGTAGCGACGACGGCCCCGGGGAGGGCACCAGCGCTGGCACCAGCACTGGGGGTGTGACCATATCCGGACCCGCCTGCGCCGCTTCCACCTCCTCCTCCTCCCTCCCCCCATGTGTCGAGCTGAAGCCGGAGCACCAGGAGGCGCTGACTCCCACCAGCACCTCAGACACAGAGACGCGGGACTCCTCGTCCCTCATCGACCCAGGAACCGAGCACGACCTGCCCTCACCAGATCCTACCGCTGCCACCAGTTGCAGCCAACCCGCCGGGGACGCCTCCCCCAAGGAGGAGAAGATGGAGGCTTCCTCTTCCTCGTCTTCCTCATCATCATCCTCTTCCTCCCTCCCAGAGACAGGGGAGTTGTCGTATGGCAGCGGCGGACAGTTAGGGGAGGAGCCGCAGTCTTCTCAGACTCAGCAGGCAGCCATGGCAGGAGCGGAGGAGGAAGAGAGGAGGAGGGAAGCAACGGCGGCAATGGATGAGACAAAGGAGGAGAAGGAGACGGGCTCTAAGACTTGCGGAGGCTCGGCCGCCCTGGCCTCGGAGGACCTGGCCTTCCCATCTGCCCTGGGGCTGGCAGGAGAGGGGCCAGAGGTCCCAGGGTGCAGTAGCCACGCCCCCTCGCAGGCTCTGATAAACTCGGCCCCGCCTCCGGACACGCTGGAAATGCTCTACAGGACAGTGGAGGCCACTATCGCTGTGGTTACAAAACTATCTGGGAAAGGGCCCTGCCCCGCCTCCTCGTGACATCACCATTATTGCTCTCAGCACCATGAGCCCTTTTAAAGTCTTTTTTTTTCTAATGTTATTTCTTTTCTCTAAATGAATTATGCTCTTTCGTTAACACTTTTCTTTCCGTGTTTTCATCCTTTTGTTTGTCGTTTCCCTTTGCTGTATGTGTTGCGTTGGCTTCTGCTGATGTGCTTCTATCGGTTGGCTCTTGTGCTCTGGTATGTCACGTGATCTCTACTCCCCAGCTTCAATGGCAGAAGAAGGCTAGACGGCATGCTCCGAAATAACGATAAACATGCACAGCCTCCGATCCATTGGACGAAAAAGATCAAGTTCTAAAAAAAACTACAGCACATTTTTTTTAAGGGCAAAAATAATTTGTTTTTTACTGATTTCCATGTTCTTTTTGAAGTGATATATTTCTTTGAGGTTGCTGTAACAGGGAAATGTTTACAGTAATTTTAGTCTTCTGTATGCAATTTAATTTAATTGCATTTTTACTCTGTATAAAATGGTGTCCTCTGTGCCAGTTTTGTACTTTATGAACGAGGCAAAAGTTGCCTTGCTTTTTTCTGTGGTTAATATCCAAACTAAGTTTACCTGTACATTAAAAAAGAACCACAAGAAACTTGATTCTGTAAAGAATCTTCTCTAGTTGTTGCCTGGCGGTGTATATGAAAACTATATATATATAACTTTATATATATATATAATGGTGCTTTATTTGACACGATATCTGTGGGTGAAATAAAGCACACGTTGTGTAACAGTTGGAGCTTTATTTTATTTACTGAAAATACATTCCATCATCAATTATGTCATTCTTGCTTCTTCTGGTTGTTTTGTTTCTTTTTTTATTTATTTCGATATAGGATAAATTAATAAAAATTGCGATATGAATAATTATGAACTACAATGAACTATGATCATTTTTTCTTTAGCATCCTCACATCCTGGATTAAATCAGATTAATTTAGCATTGTGATTGGCTTAAGGACCTCAATGCTAGATCAGTGTTTTGAAACGGATACACAGTCTTGAAACTGTCCTTGAAAATGAGGACATGCGGTTACTGTACGTTTCCCAATCCTGGTCTTGAGAGACCATTGTGTGTGATAGTATTTTATCATAACCATCCTCTCTGTAAAATGTTTGTATTGATTTGTTACAGGGTACTTGTTATGATGAGTTCTCTGGTATCAAGATATTCAGGATGCAAGAAGATAATTAAACACTTAGATGGAGAGTTGATACAATGTATTTAATAAAACGGTACCGGATTCAACATAGCAAGCTGCACGTAAGTTGCCCCTTGCTATCCGAATGACAGACACAGAGATCTCTCAGTTTATATACTGCATTGTAATCCAATTCTTGCCAACAATTATTGGGTGACACTCCCAACTACAATGGTATCATCTTGCACCCCAGTCAGGACACTCCATCACGTCCTCATTCGAAGATTAACACCAGTGGCCCCCCAGCCTTCCTGGCACTCAGACTTTCTGGTACCCACCAGTGACTTAAATAAATGGCTTGAACACATTAACAACTCCTGTGTAAACACATAGCAGTTCCCCCATTTTCTTTCTTTTTCTGTTGTAAGTAAAATTCCCCAGATATAACATTACTTTAACTAAACAATTCACATAACTTGATTTCCAAAATAAAAATATTCTCCCATAGTGGGATACATATGATTGGAGTCTAAACTATGCCATATAACTGAGAATTCATCCCCCTCTACATTCTCCATACCTGAATCCAACCAGATTCTCAATATATTTAATCAGTCATCTGGATCATGCATGATCAAACATCTCAAACCTAGATTGACTCGGCCTGAGTAAAATATCAATACATGACTTACTAATATATATATTCACGCTAAATATCTATGTAGTCAACCTTACTGATATACAGTGGGGAGAACAAGTATTTGATACACTTCCAATTTTGCAGGTTTTCCTACTTACAAAGCATGTAGAGGTCTGTAATTTTTATCATAGGTACACTTCAACTGTGAGAGACGGAATCTAAAACAAAAATTCAGAAAATCACATTGTATGATTTTTAAGTAATTAATTTGAATTTTATTGCATGACATAAGTATTTGATACATCAGAAAAGCAGAACATAATATTTGGTACAGAAACCTTTGTTTGCAATTACAGAGATCATACGTTTCCTGTAGGTCTTGACCAGGTTTGCACACACTGCAGCAGGGATTTTGGCCCACTCCTCCATACAGACCTTCTCTAGATCCTTCAGGTTTCGGGGCTGTCGCTGGGCAATACGGACTTTCAGCTCCCTCCAAAGATTTTCTATTGGGTTCAGGTCTGGAGACTGGCTAGGCCACTCCAGGACCTTGAGATGCTTCTTACGGAGCCACTCCTTAGTTGCCCTGGCTGTGTGTTTCGGGTCGTTGTCATGCTGGAAGACCCAGCCACGACCATCTTCAATGCTCTTACTGAGGGAAGGAGGTTGTTGGCCAAGATCTCGCGATACATGGCCCCATCTATCCTCCCCTCAATACGGTGAAGTCGTCCTGTCCCCTTTGCAGAAAAGCATCCCCAAAGAATGATGTTTCCACCTCCATGCTTCACAGTTGGGATGGTGTTCTTGGGGTTGTACTCATCCTTCTTCCTCCAAACACGGCGAGTGGCGTTTAGACCAAAAAGCTCTATTTTTGTCTCATCAGACCACATGACGACCTCCCATTCCTCCTCTGGATCATCCAGATGGTCATTGGCAAACTTCAGACGGGCCTGGACATGCGCTGGCTTGAGCAGGGGGACCTTGCGTGCGCTGCAGGATTTTAATCCATGACGGCGTAGTGTGTTACTAATGGTTTTCTTTGAGGCTGTGGTCCCAGCTCTCTTCAGGTCATTGACCAGGTCCTGCCGTGTAGTTCTGGGCTGATCCCTCACCTTCCTCATGATCATTGATGCCCCACGAGATGAGATCTTGCATGGAGCCCCAGACCGAAGGTGATTGACCGTCATCTTGAACTTCTTCCATTTTCGAATAATTGCGCCAACAGTTGTTGCCTTCTCACCAAGCTGCTTGCCTATTGTCCTGTAGCCCATCCCAGCCTTGTGCAGGTCTACAATTTTACCCCTGATGTCCTTACACAGCTCTCTGGTCTTGGCCATTGTGGAGAGGTTGGAGTCTGTTTGATTGAGTGTGTGGACAGGTGTCTTTTATACAGGTAATGAGTTCAAACAGGTGCAGTTAATACAGGTAATGAGTGGAGAACAGGAGGGCTTCTTAAAGAAAAACGAACAGGTCTGTGAGAGCCGGAATTCTTACTGGTTGGTAGGTGATCAAATACTTATGTCATGCAATAAAATGCTAATTAATTACTTAAAAATCATACAATGTGATTTTCTGGATTTTTGTTTTAGATTCCGTCTCTCACAGTTGAAGTGTACCTATGATAGAAATTACAGACCTCTACATGCTTTGTAAGTAGGAAAACCTGCAAAATCAGCAGTGTATCAAATACTTGTTCTCCCCACTGTATAAGGAAAAATCCCACCTAGACCATTGTAAATAACACACTTGTATATATCATTTTCAACTATACCCATCCTCTTAAACAGGCAAACAAAAAAACATACATGCAAATGAATGCTTATCATGACATCATCCAAGAAAATACATTGATTCATGACTATTTCTAATTTACCTGTAGACTACAATAGAGGTACAGTGAGGGAAAAAAGTATTTGATCCCCTGATGATTTTGTACGTTTTCCCACTGACAAAGAAATAATCAGTCTATAATTTTAATGGTAGGTTTATTTGAACAGTGAGAGACAGAATAACAACAACAAAATCCAGAAAAACACATTAAAAAATTTGTATCAATTGATTTGCATTTTAATGAGGGAAATAAGTATTTGACCCCTCTGCAAAACATGACTTAGTACTTGGTGGCAAAACCCTTGTTGGCAATCACAGAGGTCAGACGTTTCTTGTAGTTGGCCACCAGGTTTGCACACATCTCAGGAGTGATTATGTCCCACTCATCTTTACAGATCTTCTCCAAGTCATTAAGCTTTCGAGGCTGACGTTTGGTAACTCAAACCTTCAGCTCCCTCCACAGATTTTCTATGGGATTAAGGTCTGGAGACTGGCTAGGCCACTCCAGGACCTTAATGTGCTTCTTCTTGAGCCACTCTTTTGTTGCCTTGGCCGTGTGTTTTGGGTCATTGTCATGCTGGAATACCCATTCACGACCCATTTTCAATGCCCTGGCTGAGGGAAGGAGGTTCTCACCCCGTCCATCGTCCCTATGATGCGGTGTAGTTGTCCTGTCCCCTTAGCAGAAAAACACCCCCAAAGCATAATGTTTCCACCTCCATGTTTGACGGTGGGGATGGTGTTCTTGGGGTCATAGGCAGCATTCCTCCTCCTCCAAACACGGCGAGTTGAGTTGATGCCAAAGAGCTCGAATTTGGTCTCATCTGACCACAACACTTTCACCCAGTTCTCCTCTGAATCATTCAGATGTTCATTGGCAAACTTCAGACGGGCATGTATATGTGCTTTCTTGAGCAGGGGGACCTTGCGGGCGCTGCAGGATTTCAGTCCTTCACGGCGTAGTGTGTTACCAATTGTTTTCTTGGTGACTATGGTCCCAGCTGCCTTGAGATCATTGACAAGATCCTCCCGTGTAGTTCTGGGCTGATTCCTCACCGTTCTCATGATCATTGCAACTCCACGAGGTGAGATCTTGCATGGAGCCCCAGGCCGAGGGAGATTGACAGTTCTTTTGTGTTTCTAATCGCACCAACTGTTGTCACCTTCTCACCAAGCTGCTTGGCGATGGTCTTGTAGCCCATTCCAGCCTTGTGTAGATCTACATTCTTGTCCCTGACATCCTTGGAGAGCTCTTTGGTCTTGGCCATGGTGGAGAGTTTGGAATCTGATTGATTGATTGCTTCTGCTCCCAGGTGTCTTTTATACAGGTAACAAACTGAGATTAGGAGCACTCCCTTTAAGAGTGT